TAATTTTTGTATTTTTAGTAGAGACAGGGTTTCACCATGTTGGCCTGGCTGCTCTCAAACTCCCGACCTCAGGTGATTGACCCGCCTGGGCTTCCCAAAGTGCTGGGATTAAAGGCTGTGCCCGGCCCAATCTTCTTTATTGTTAAAACTTTTATCACTGCCATGTAATCAATTAAAAAATATTTTTAAATTCCACAGTTCTCTCATAGCAATCTTTTAAGTTTCCTAAACACACCATGAGCTCTCCTTTCTTAATAACTTCATGCATGCTCTTCCTCTGTCTGAAAATACACTTGCCCACTCACTCCTCAACTGCTGCCACAAACTCACACAAACACACACCACCTTCTGCTCCCTAATACCAGACACCAGGTAAATGCTTACTCTCGTATCAAGACTTGGGTGTTAGATATTTGTCAACATTTTGGATCTGGAGAATCCAATCACCCTTCCATGCTACCTGGGGAATTCTTCATGTAATACGAATGGGAAGTGGTGTTTCATCGTCCACTACAAAAGTCAAAAACGGCAGATCACATTTTCTCAGAACTCTGTGTTGGAATATGACAGAAGCTTGGCCAAGTATGTGTTCTAGTTTAAGATTTTGAATTTTTAGCAAATAATATCAAGATGAAAGTAGCAATAACGGTGCCCTGGGCAAAGACAGCAGCACCCTTACAGATTTTCCTGCCAAAAGACAGTTGTGGTACCTCCTACTTCTTGGTCCTCTAGAACACCATTTTTTTTTCTGTCCATTTCAATCCTCATCTTACAGCCTTCCATCAATTCTATAAACCCTGATTATCCTGTCAATAAATCTCCTGTTTAACAAATTGAGTTTCTGTTATCTTCAACCAAAGTGACACATTCACCTTGGAAGACACTGCATTTTAGAAGCCTTCCAACACAATGACCATTCTCTCTTTCAGGATAACTTAGAAGTCATCCTTCAATGTTTCCCTAGCATTCTGAGTACTCTTACATAGCACTTATCAAAATTTTACCTAGAGAAATGTACTTAGTGAGTACTCATTAAAAAGTCAGGAAAGAGATGAAACTATTAGTAAGTTAAGCAATTTAAAATATGCATTATATTTTCTTCAATCATATTTCTCAAACCTTAACCTTCAGTCCTTCAGTTGCTCAGAATCAAGGCTCTTAGCATCTTCACTGCCATGATTCAAATTAGTCCATAATACTGCAATTACCTTCCTAGATTAGAATTGATTTTCCAGGGAAAACAATCTGACATCAAAAGTGAATCATAGGAAAAAACTACAGCCATGAAAAAATATTTATCAGTTTGAACTGTTGCATTAGAATTAATATTGATTTTGTAATTTAACAACTTTCTAGATGACAATTTCTTACTATTTTTGATATTATATGATATCATTTAGGTTTGCCATGTAGTGTATAAGTTAATTGTAAATAATTTCTATTCGATACCATATTAGTTGGTTTTCATGCTGCTAATACATACCCAAAACTGGGAACAAAATGAGGTTTAATTGGACTTATAGTTCCACATGGCTGGGGAGGCCTCAGAATCATGGTGGGAGGTGAAAAGCACTTCTTACATGGTGGGAGCAAGAGAAAAATGAGGAGGAAGCAAAAGCGGAAACCCCTGATAAAGATCTTGTGAGACTTACCATCATGAGAATAGCACCAGAAAGACCGGCCTCCATGATTCAATTACCTCCCCCGGGTCCCTCCCACAACACATGGGAATTCTGGGAGATAAAATTTAAGTTGAGATTTGGGTGGAGACACAGCCAAACCAGATCATTCTGCCCCTGGCCCCTCCAAATCTCATTTTCTCACATTTAAAAACCAATCATGCCTTCCCAACAGTACCCCAAAATCTTAACTCATTTCAGCATTAACTGAAAAGTCCACAGTCCAAAGTCTCATCTGAGACAAGAGAAGTCCCTTATGCCTATAAGCCTGTAAAATCAAAAGCAAGCTAGTTACTTCCTACATACAAAGGGTGTTCAGGTATTGGGTAAATACAGCTGTTCCAAATGGGAGAAATTGGCCAAAACAAAGGGGTTACAGGGCCCATGCAAGTCTGAAATCCAGTGGGGCAGTCAAATTTTAAAGCTACAGAATGATCTCCTTTGATTCCAGGTCTCACCTCCGGGTCATGGTCTTCGGCAGCTCCACCCCGTGACTGTGCAGGTTACAGCCTCCCTCCTGGCTGCTTTCATGGGCTGGCATTGAATGTCTGCAGCTATTCCAGGTGCACAGTGCAAGCTGTTGGTGGACCTACCATTCTAGGGTCTGAAGGATGGTGGCCCTATTCTCATAGCTCCAATAGTCAGTACCCCAGTAGGGCTCTTGCCCTACCTTTCCCTTCCACACTGCCCTAGCAGGGGTTCTCCATGAGGGACTCACCCCTGCAGCAAACTTTAGCCTAGGCACCTGGGTGTTTCTATACATCTTCTGAAATCTAGGCAGAGGTTGCCAAACCTCAATTCTTGACTTCTGCACACTTGCAAGCTCAACACCACATGGAAGTGCTAAGACTTTGGGCTTCTACCCTCTGAAGCCACAGCCCAAGCTCTACATTGGCCCCTTTCAGCCATGGCTGGAACAGGTGGGACAAGGACACCAAGTCCCTAGGCTGCACACAGCATAGGGACCCTGGAGCCAGTCCACAAAACCAGTTTTTCCTCCTAGGTCTGTAGGCCTGTGATGGGAGGAGATCCGTGAAAGTCTCCAACATGGCCTGCAGACATTTTCCCTATGGTCTTGGGGATTAACATTAAGCTCCTTGCTTCTTGTGCAAATTTCTGTGGCCAGCTTGAATGTCTCCTAAAAAAAAAAAATGGGTTTTTCTTTTCTACTGCATCATCAGGCTGCAAATTTTGTGAACTTTTATGTTCTGTTTCCCTTTTAAAATTGAATGCTTTTGACAACACCCAAGTCACCTTTTGAATGCCTTGCTGCCTAGAAATTTCTTCCACTAGATACCCTAAATCATCTCTCTCAAGTTCAAAGTTCCACACATCTCTAGGGCAAAGGCAAAATGCCACTAGTCTCTCCTGAAACATAACAAGAGTCATC